AAGAGAGTGAATATTGGACACAAACAGGACTCCAAAAGAAAGCTAGTGTTCTTGCTGTGTGTGCTGGATGTGTAAATGAGATACTGGTTGCTAACATGTTCGTCATATTAAATCAAAAGGGGGATATTTTGTTATTGTGTTTGGAGCTTTTCACATTGTACCAGTGTGTCCAAAAAGAGAAAAATTTAATTGATCCATGTTTAATAAATGTTAAATGAAACGAGGGATTTTTACAAACATCTTATTGATATTCAAAGAAAGAATTCAATATATAAATTAATGAACTATTATTAATTAATTAACTATGAGCTGAAAATCTATTTTAAAACAAAGACAAGGCAGCAACACACACAGTATAGTTTGTAATGGATGAAGTCATGACATGAAGGAGCTGCAGTGCACTTTTGATAATTTAAACTCTAATGTATATTTTCCATTATATATTAGAATACGATATCAATAGCAGAAGGGCTAAATAAGTAAAGAAATAAAGTTCTTGCTCTGGTGTTACAAAAGGTCAGTTCAATCATACTAGTGTGTGGTATGTGCTGGTATGAACAGTGTGCACTGATAGTGTGAAATACTCATTACATACTTTTTACAATTGTAAAATGTACAAACACTTTGGACAAAGTCACCTTATACTGAGCTATAATCGTGGAGTAATTGTGAAAATGGTTGACTTTCTGGAAATAGACACAAACCTATTCAGAGGTGTCAAATTTTTAAGGTGTGAACAATGTGATCAATTATGTGTGTAGCAACCCTCCTCAGGCCACTTGGTGTAAATGTTATAATGATTGCAAGATGCATAATTTTCATTAAAAAATGTAATACACACAAAAAAAAAGAAGGAAGGAAGAGACAGCTCGTCCCTACACTGCTAGGACCGCGGGGGAGCGATTTGAGCGCTTCCTGATGGTAAGGGAAGCCTCCTGGCCTGAGGCAATATGAGGCAGGACTACATGGGGCCTCTTGCTATGTGATCTAGGAGAAAGTCAACAGTTTAGTTTTCCTATCGCTGTGTGGCAGGACCCCGGGTCAACAGGAACACAGGGAGTGAAAGAGATAGAACCACGGTGGCCTAATAACCTGTGTGCATGTGTGTGTGTGGTACGTGCATGTGTATATAAGGTTTTAGGGTGTAAATCCTACATACTAATAGCCTCTGTGTGTGTGTGGCTAACAGGTGTAAGACACTGAAACACGCAGGACCAATAATTTGTGTGTGTGTTGACAGCTTAAGCGAGCAAGGGAGACAGTGAAAAGCCCTTCTTCATATATAAGGAAATCACATACATTCCAAAAACAAGACAAATGCAACTTATCTTAAACACAAACAGACATCCAATATACACTATTTACCTGGCTCTCCTTTATCGTAGTACTGATAGGTGCCAATATCTGTATCTGTGGGGCGAGAGAGAGAGAGAGAGAGAGAGAGAGAGAGAGAGAGAGAGCGATGAACATCTAGCTGTCAGGGAAAAGCAGAAGACAGATCAGCAATTTCGCACCATGGGATAAACAATCGCTATCAGCCAGTGGCCTGTCCCGTCTGCCAGCACCACGGTTTGAGCTGAGATAAGGCCCTGTGAGGGAGGAGGAGATGGGAGGGTGAGCTGGGGGGTCCGAGGCAGTGTGGAGGGGGGGAAAAGAGGGGTATTAATAAAGACAGGAGTGTGCCTTAACCTATTCCACCTGAGGGACAGACTCTGATTTACACACATGCAACATATACATTTAAAAGTAGACACACGGACTCAGCAGATGGCTGCAAAAACATATGACCAACATACACATAGCAGGCACACAAACACACATTATGATGGACAGATACACACACACATAAACACACACACACTCACACACAAACTGCTGAGCTGAATCTTTTTGTCAGTGTTATTCCTGCAGGCCCAAAACCTTAAGCAGCCAGACTCGGATTCACACCACACATCGTTTCTTTATCGCTCCACTACTGTTGCTGCTGCTGCTGCTGCTGCTCCTGAGGCCAGGTCACACTAATACAACAGGAGAGCTGATGGCAGACACACAACACACACACACACAGAACACTATTACTAGTAATGGCTTGATGTTACTTTTTCAATCCTGACAGAGATAGTGATACTATAACCTTGAGTATCTGCCAATGCCAACCTCACTTTTTTCTATTAAACAATAACTGAGGTGTTCTTAAAACATTCGTATGAAAGCACTTAAACCTGCATAAAGAAATGTTTTTGGAATTAACATTAAATCAAATGACTTTTAAGATTCACTTGTAGTGTCAGACTTCCTGGGAATCAACATCCAACTCTGTTCTACACATTTAGACAATTGTTTCACCCCTAACAATATGGAACTGTTATCGAGAAGCAGTATTAGACACTGTATACTGCACACTAAACTTACACAGCATGAAATAGCAGAGGTAAGGTAACTGGTGAAGCCAGCCGAGCATCTAACAAGCTAAAGAACCACATATTTTTCAGGAGTTTGTGGACCAAACCAAGACCTACATGCTCATATTGATCTTTGTCTGCTGGCTATGTAAGTAGGCAATGGCAGCACATAACACATTTCATTTCCAGCATGTTGCTCAAAGTGTGGCTACAATCATTTGCATGCTGTTTCAGTTTGTGTGGTAACAGACTTAACTATATTTGTGGAACATCTATGGACAGAAATACTTAAATTAAAGGTCCCTTCCAGACATGTTTTAATCATTTCTCTGATTTGACGTATGTGTCTGATATGTCTGTTTTTTCTTTATGATGTTTAATTACATAATTAAAAATCTATATCTACCTCTCTCCAATTTAAAAAAAATCTGAATCTATGAACATGCAAACTATTATGACTTTTTAAAAAAAACTTATAGAGTCTACAAGATGGCTCCTACTTCACTCAATTCCATTCTCAGTGTATGTGCACAGGAGGTTTCAAACTTCCATATCACACTTGTTTGGATGTCACATGCATCATCACAAATGATGCTTGCACATGCACATCTTCAAGTCAGATTTAAGGTAAACTTTAAGAGAAACTTTCCTCCTTAAGCAGATGGATGTGAAAACAGCTTTCTAGTATCAAACTCTGGCACATAAATCATTCTGCTAACTGATTGTCATCCAAGTCAAATATTGGTCCACATAAGAACACAGGTGCATGATTAAAAACTTGATTTCATCACATCACAGTAAGCAACAACAAACTAAAGGTAAGAGAAGCAGGACGAATAGGTCACTAGGTCAAATCTGAATCTTCATTTAAAATCTGGGTCAGCATAATGAATGAATAACTCTTTCCTATACTACAGTGACTTCTGTTGAGGACTCCTTATGCAAAGCAACTAACTCACTTATTGCGATGTTGCTCGGTCGCCTATCGCAGAAGGCTGTGAGAGATTTCTAATTTAAACGTGATTAACACGTGTAGAACATACACCCAAACCACACAGAACATATTTGTTTCAATGCATTGTACAGCAGATGTGGCTTTCATGAATCTATACTTTGGTTTTTGGGGCGGATGTATATGATGTAAAGAAAGTGGTGATAGGGAGAGTCACACCCCAGTGACCAGGTCTTTTCGCTCAGATGTATCCATCCACATTTTTCCAAGATAGCACAAGACACACACAAGGAAAAAACAAACAAATAAGGATATGTCACCATCACCTAGGATATACACCCTGTCGTACCTTTGTGAATACACATAAACGCACACACATACACAGTCAGGCTCGGAGAGACACTATCTTCGTCTAAAGCTCAGCAGACTGTGAAAGACAAGACAGAATGGAAGGGAGGAGAAAACAAGAAAATGGAGAAACAGAGCATTTCCGTCTAACAGAAGAGATGGACTGATAGGTGGCGAGCAGAAAAACGCACATAAACTGCCAGAAAAGTCAAACTTACACAACACGCACTCTGCCTTACAAACAAGCTTTGGTCGCAAGTTAATGTTTCTTAACGCATGCATGATGGTGATGTGCAGTTGAACAAAAGCAAAAGCGAACAAAAAAGTGCTTCTCAGAAATGATCATCAAATATGAAATGTGTTTTGTAAAGGGGAACTCCACCAACTACTACTGCATTATGTTAAAAAAAAAAACTCCAGAGGAAGCTGTGCAAAATCGGATAAATTGCCTCAAGTGACGTTACTTGAGTCAGCGCCGGCTGGTTCTGAAGACTACAGGTTTGAAAATGATTAAAAACCAGACCTCTGCAGCATGCATTTCAAAAATCTTCACATTCAGTGTAACTAAATATAAAACATTTTCCCAGTACGAACCATAATCAGCTAACTGGCTGTGTGATGTAATAGCAATCTTACCATGTTAGTAAAGCTTCGATCTGACAAATGTGGAATGGAGTCAACATGTGTTTGGAAAACATACAGATGTTTCATAGGTTTCTTGAGTTGCTTGTGGTCATAGTAAGCAATCACACTTTAAACAATGTAAAAATACAGGTTAATATTGTAAAAACATTATAAAGAATGTGTAATGCAATAAAAAGACATGCATAGCAAAGAGAAAGTTAAAAAAGACAAAGTGAGAATTGGTGTTGAGTCAGAGTCAGATTGAGAAAGGGTGTAGGCGTGTAGGTAAGGTGGGGAGAAGGTGTGAAAACAAAGTGAGTGATGACAGAAAGAGCCAGAGCAAGACGGAGGGAGGGGTAAAAGAGAAAGGAGGCAGGGAGATAATTATTGAGAGTGCGAGATTGAACATGGTGATAAGTGCTACCTTTGACTTGGAGTGAGCTCTTGGTGGACCACAAGTGCAACTCAGCCAGGCAGAACGCCATCTGACGGGGGAGTGTAACCCGAGTCTGCAGACAGGGACAAGTGAGAGAGGGAACAAATGAAAGAAGGAAAAACAGACAGGGCAGACCAAACACAACCACAGATGTATATCTTGACAAGACAACATAATAGATTGACATAAAGAGGCCTGAGGGTCAAACAAAGCATGCATGTAGGCACACATGCTCACATACACACAAACTTGTATGAACGCCAGGTACTACCTGACGATCATGTAGCTGGACTGGCAAAATCAGAAATTATAAGTATAGAACAGATGACAAAGCAGTGTGATAAGAGTGTACGGGGAAAATATCAAGAAATGACCAGGTCATGTGAACACAAAGGTATCTAATGACAACAGAGCACACTAACAATGTGAACAAACATTTATCAACAGAACAGAAAGTTTACTGTTTCCTGTTTTATTTTTGGATTTTTTTTCAAGTTTGGGGATAATTCTTCATTAACTCATTGTTGAATTTTTATTTTCAGTCTTTTTTTCATGGTGGTGGTAGTAGCACTCATGAGAGCAGTAGCAGTGGAGTATTAGTAGTAAAAGTAACAGTAGTAGTAATTGTATTTGTAGTAGTTAGTAGCTATAGCAGTCATGAGCTTTCCTTAAAAATGACAATGGTACTGCAACATAATACTCTTCTGTAGTACCACTTCCTGTACCTGTTCTACCTGTCTTACTAGTAAGCTGGAATAATAGTAGTGGGTTACTCTACAGGTATGAATGCACACACCAAAGAACTCATTATGTGACAGACAGACAGACATGCACATGAACTCAGACTGACACTGTGAAGGTCACAGACTGAGATGCACCTTCACTTGCACGGGTGAGCAGTGATGGACACACACTTCGGAGCCGACAGCTAAGACAAAGCAGGCAGCATTCCATACTTTAGGTAATGAACATAGGACAGGTCTATGACAGGCGCTGGCTATTCCTCCTTCTTCATTACAGACTTTATCCAGTCGGTTGACTTCTGCTCCTGGAGGGTTAAGCTGTTGCTTTCTTCTGGTCCTCCCTGTGGGATTTCCCCTGTAGTATTGATGGTTTGTTATCGTACTTTACAGGTGTATTTGTTCTGTCTGTGTGAGCAGTGTACCGACTGCGTATTGAACCACTTATGATGTTTCAGTGATAAAAAGAATTTCCTACTGTGGAATCAATGAAATATCAATCAAAACTGCAACTACTTCTAGCGCAGATACTACGTTAACACTACTAGCTGTACACATTTTATCATATATGTATTTCTTCTTACGTATAACACAATACAGTGTGTTACTGAAGTGTGATCAGGATGGTGTGATAATGAAGAACTGTCCAGAAGACTGACATTTTTTTCCTTAAGGAAACTGCTACCATGACCCCTACATTACTGGCAATACATTTTAAAAGAAATGTTTTTTTAAATAGATATTTGTATTTAAGAATAGTGCCTGTCAAAAAAAATGTATATTAGTTGCTTGCTATGTCTTAAGTTGTTGCACCTCCTTGATGTTTGGCTGTGTTAGTTGTCAACTAGCTAGTTCTTGATCACTACTAATTAAATTATAACAAATGCATGTGTACCGCTGTCTTTATATTGCACTCTGAAATACCAACTCTTACACAGTGTTGCTTTAAAAGGTCCAGTGTGTAGAATTTAGTGGCATTTAGTGGCAGTTCAACATGGCGGCCTCCACGGAGGGCCACCTGTGGTGGTTGTAAATAAAAACGGCTCATTCTAAGGTAACAAAAACACAACAAGTCTTATTTTCAAAAAAATAAAAACATACTTATTATATATAATTTCTGTCAAATAGATCCTCCTAAATGTGACCACACGGACCTTCAAGGTCAGTTTTTTTGTTAAGTTTACTGTTTATAGTCAGTTTAATAGTATGGTTTTTGGGGAATTGTGTTATCATTTTAATGTCACTACATTTAATCTGAAAATATACAGAGGTCCACCTAGCATGTCTAAGATCCCATATACTTTGAACAACTGAGTTTGATTAGGATAATTTCACCATCAACATTAAACTTATTGAGTCTTTGAACTACATTCACAAAGTAGGTTTTCATACATTTGTCTGATTTTGGGAAAACCAAATTATATTTCCCAAAAACCAGACCTGTGGATCTTCCAAGCGTACAAGACTCGGTGTAAATTACAGGCCAGTGCAGAATCTCTGTATAGTGTAGCAAAGGTGTTGCAGTATTGCTGCATCGGACATTCATTTCTCTATCTGTGCAGCTAATGCCCTGCGTCAGTCCATCCTCTCTCTAACTCTCCCTCTTATTTTCTCTCGTTAACGCTGAGAGGGGACTCTCTCTTATCTTTCCCCTCTTGCACCTCCTGGTGTGGGGGGGAAAAAAAATCTCATTTTGCCACTCAACCTCCAAAACTACAAGTCCCAACAAAAATACACATAGATAACACCGGGTGCCATGGAAACGCTGGGGCTAGCATGGCAAGGCAGCGACGGCGTAACGAGTTTACTGACATAAGAGGATTCTTTTATCCTCTCCTAACCAGCTTTTTTAGAGGAAGTCAGCCCTTTTTGCGTGGCCACATATGTATCAGGACAGGCAATACAGAGAGAGACATTAACACAGGACAGAGAGAGGGTTTGTTTGGGACTAGGCATTGATTCTAGTTTTTGTTTTCATTTTCATTTTCAGGTTTTAGGTACATGACATCATTTTCAATTCAAAATAAGCAAAACATTCACTTGTTGCCAAATGTTACACAGTGAGATAGAAGTAAAAAGGAAGGAGAGACAAGATACTCCATGTATACTGAGGTAAATGGTAACAAGATCAGTCCGTTTACAGTGGCTGTCATCATTCTATGCTGACACATCAGCATGTTTGTCTGATGACACTCTCTCTACACAAACACGCCAAGCAAAACATATCACTCCAGTACTTGCTTTAACTTCACTGGTGAAATTAATTTGTCAGCCCCCAATGCACATTTCCAACCTGCAATTCAACCAGAGCTCTCAGTGTCGGTCTGGTACGACTGCTTGTAGTTATTTTGGTCCTGTTCTCTGCAACAATCTGGCTTATGACCGGAGATACACATATTAAAAGTAAATGGAAAAACCTTTTTTCTTAGACTTGTGATTAGGTTATGGTTAATACACACTACTGTGGGGACTGGGGCGGTGGATGTTAACAGTTTTTTTTGGTTGGGTGCTTTTTATTCTCTTTTGTTATTGTTGCATTTTTGGGATATGTCATATCATGCCATGCCCTCACTGATCAACCCTGCAAAACCAGAGGTAAAACCCAGAGAAGCATGAGTATCACTTCAACAATTTGCTTTTTATAGACTTGCTTTTTAAAGAAGGCAGACAAACCACTTTTTTTTGCTCTTCTTGTTCATATGGAAGCATGTGTATACATGGACACAATGACACACATTACTATCCACACAGACTGAGGTAATTGAGAGCTGTGATTTTTAAATATTGACTAGTAAAATCACGTTTCAATTTTTTTTTTTTATGAAGCTACAAAACTGGTATAGTAACCACACTCACAAGGTTTAATGCACACACACACTCCACCCACTGACATACAGAACACACAATCAGGAACAGCAGCGCACACACACACACAGCATGCTGCACAGGTCCTGGACAGCTGCCACACTCATACTGACTTCTGGTTGGGGTTGCCGTGGGTTACCTGTCCCCCCGCAGCGCTTTGTGGGGGTGTACAGTTAGTGTACAGAGGGCTGTGTGAGGGGTGAGGGGGGGTCTAGGTTATTGTACCCTGTCTTTACACTAGTAAAGAGGCTGCTTTAACATCAAAGGAGGGGAGGGAAAACATATGACTCCTTTTTCAAAGGCAGTCCACAGGAACTACGACCTTGTCTGCTCTTTGCATCTCTTTCTCTGCTCTTCTTTCACTGTCCCCTCTGGGTGGTTACAGAGTGTGAGAGCATGTGAGTGTGTGTATATCTGTGCAAAGGCGAACAAGAGCAACAGAAAAGTGTCTTTGTATGAGTGTGCTTGAAGGTGTGTGTTTGTGCCAGAGACAGAAAGAGAAAGAGAAAGACAGAACTTTAAGTAAATATTTATTTGAGACTGGTTCTCTCAGAGTAAAAGAGAGAAACAATGGAAGCCTTTGTTATATCTGGACCGCAGTTCTGCCCCATCTCTCACTATTTCTCACTCTCAACCGCCACCACCCAAACAGTAATTTATCAGAACATAGATGGCACAAACTTCGTTCTTGGTTTGAATCTGGCCTTTCTAACATAGCTTTCCTTCATATCCTGTGCCTGGTGGAGAAATGACATGTCCTGACCTCCCTAAAATATACAGTATACACCATCTGAACACTAAAACGCATGCAGCACGGCTTCCACATCAGAACTGTCTTTTTGGATCATCAGAAAATATTTTAATTTACCTTTAAAACAAAGGTATGCTGACTTTTAAAAAGTTAATTTATTTGGTAGCACTGTGTCTTTAATTTCACTGGGTGCTGAGAAACCTAACACGTTGTCTTGAGAGATATGACGACATGATGCAAAAATAGAGACAGTAATAGAATTGGTGGGTTTAAGCACAATACGGCCTAAACACGTTTGATATACCTATCTAGTGTTGTGGGGGTGCCATCAATCGGTAAGAAAAAACTGTAAAGGTAAAGCCGATGCCATAGGTATCTATGACATGAATTGTGTTAATCCCTTACATCAAGCATAAATGGCTTTAGTGGTAGTGTTGTTCTGGATGGTATGATATTGAGGTGTTCATCATATTCTGTGCCCTTTGTGCAGGTAAATGGGGGTGGGATAAAAGTGATAGAACCTATAAAAATATTATTCTGGATCAGATGGGTTAAGACCCTGCAGAGCAGCATGTTGCACGTACTGCAATCATAAAATGGCAAACGCATTCTCTTTCTTGATGTCTTTAAATGTAAAACTCATCACTTCTTGTGTGCCGTCAAGGTTGCAAGCCTCATCGACCAGTGACCAAGATTACTGTAACTGAGATAACTGTGGGGTACTTACAGTAGTGTAGTTTATGTTGCAACAGATGTCAACTCCTAAACAAATGTGTTCAGATTTGGCGATCACCCCAGGGCCTATTAGGACCTCGGCCCGGATCTGGAGCTCCACTGTAACAAGAGAGAGACAGGCCTGAAATGAAGGCAGGCTCACAGACATTTTGTTTGACATCTCAAGAATCCTTTCTCACAGGTTTACACTTTTTCTCTCTCTCTCTCATACACACACACACACACACACGCCAGAGGCAGTGCTGTCAGCTGGTGCAGCGGTCCCGTCACTGTGAGAAGAGTGATGTAGTAAATTACAGGGTTAAAGAGCTGCCATAGGGTGACTGACACAAGGCCATCACAGAATTGCCCATTCCCCCACCCCCCAGTACACACACACACACACTTTTACTTTTGACTAGGTTTGTCCGTCTTTCTCCTTCCCTTTTTCTTTTCTCTTTTTTTCCTCATGTACCTTCACTTATCAACCCTCTGCCTACTTGTCCCTTGCCTTTTATCGTTTTTTCCCACTCTTCTTGTCTCCCATGTTTTTCTGAGTTACCTCCTATTAGAAATGCATTAAGCTTTCTGACCCTGTCTGCAAGCTTTCACTCTCTTTCTGGCAATTTTACTCTCCTCATTCTTTGTCTTCTCTCTCAAAGGACAGTATTTCAGTGCGTCTGATTTTTTCTTTCTCTCTAGCAGTTTTAACTCTACTCTTTATTGTCTCATCTCTCTCAAAGGACAAAGTTTCACATTTTCCACAACCTTTATCTCTCGCAGACGCTCTGTCTCTCAGCTGCTGCCTGGTCTTGTTTTGGCTCTTGGAGAGAAACTTCGCAAACATGACGAACATACAAAGAGCGACCAGAAAGTACATCCACAGAGAGAGATAGGTAGGTAACAGAGTGTAATTGTGAGTGTATGAGCACATATTTTCCAATGAGGTGCCTCAGAGTTTCTGCCAATTCTCAGTCACACTTCTTCAATACATACACTCATGTATTCAGTAAACATACTCAGGCACTCAAGTCAGTGCTATATTGCATACACTCCAATCTCTCATACTTCTGATATCTGAACTCATACGGCACACAAACACATACGCATGCATGGAAAGGCATATACAGTATGATGCATACTCTCCTATCTTTTAACCTTGTGATACCTGAGGGAATGTACACATGCACACATTTACATACATATGAAACCATGCACACAGACTCACACAAGCTCTTATCTTTAGTATATTCTTGAGGGAGAAGTCCTCAAGCTTCCAGTGTCATATCGGAGCAAAAAAAAGGTGGACAAAATCTGGAAACAACATGCCTCTGAAGAAACAGTGAGATAATGAGAAGTGAAAAAAACAGATAAAACAAAGAATCCAATCCCTGAAAGGAGTCTAATGTACATCATTGGAAGACTGTGACCACTGAGACAACAGATAAGAGGGTGTCTGTGGTAGAAAAGAGACTTGACTCATAACACAAACTGATAAACATAATGGTCACTTCTAATGCACTGCAACCCTAATATGTGCTTCAATCAAGCAAGGAGCCTTAATAATGTCAATCTGGGGGATAATCACGCTCTAAGTTTTTGAACTACAGTTCCTATGATGCGTTGAGCTTGCAAACAGGAAGTATGATATTGCCATGGATAGAGTTATTCATGTTGTGGGCTACAACCTGAGCTGCATCTTTTTAGCCTATATACTTGTTTACATTGTAGCAAATTGGCACTGTTAAAAGTCTGCATAATTAGCTATTAACACTTCCTGTTTGCGACATATCAATGGATGTACAAACAACTGTCACTGGATTAATTTGATACTGAAGAAAACTTCAAAATGTGATGATTCTTAGGCAGGTTCTGGAGTTATAAAGGAGCTTCTAAGCTTTCTGAGCTAATTTATGGACAGCTGATGTATGACGAAGGAGTGCAAGCTATTGGCAGTCCAAATCAGTGGGCTAAATAACCATAACTAACATCCCATTGTTTTCAGATCACCAGCATGCACCAGTCCATTTCAGCTCACACAGTATCTTTGCCTCACCTCTCCCTCAACACCATTAAACCGTTAAATCTGAAAGGATGCAGATAAAAAGTCCCATAAAATGCAGTTAGTCAGTGAGAAGCTCCAGAACAAGATATCGCTCTCTACTGGTGACGTTGGCCAACAACACAGAAGTTGCAGTAGAGGTTGTTAGAAGTTGTTTTTGACATTGATCATACAAACATGTCGATTAGAGTCCATACGGTTCATACGGCCACATCAATCTAATCCAAGCTTGTCACCTTTTTTCTGTCCCTATTTTACATGAATGCAGCAAGATAGCTAGCTAGGTAGATAACGTTTTCATTCTTAATCCCGCCTACTGAACTCTGATAGGTCAAGTGTATCTCCAACTGGAGAAACAGCCAACATGGACACAAAATCAGACCTGCTACATTGTTCTGTGGTGTATTGTGGAGTGTAATAAACATTGTAGTCTCTAGGGGCCACCAGTGGGGCTTATGAGTTCCAGTCAAGCTTTATTCTTCTCCATCCTCTCTCCATCACTGCTGTCTGTCCCTCAGTCACTCTGCTTCAGTGGTTTTGTTGAGGACCTAAGGCGTTACAGAACTCAGCCCACTGAAAAAGAGGAGACGAACTGAAAACTACAGAGACTACACTCTACACAGAGTGAAAGTGCTGTGAGGCCTGGCGGCAGTGTACACACTTACCCCCACACACACACACACACACACACACACACACACAACCACAGGCAAGTACAGTGCATCTTCTCAACTGTCCCATTATAAGACAGAGGTTCTGGTGGAGGAGAGAGGAGGGTGGGCAAAGTGGCGCCAGGCAGCAGGCCGAAAACCTTTCACACACACACTTAACAAAGTCCCACAGGAGCCCATTCAGCTGTCGGCAGAAGAAGAATAGAGGTGATAGACAGGCAGAACAAAATGAGGTAAAGGTAATACTATTCAAGAGAGGTGACAGGTACAGTCACTCTGTATGCATGTGCACATGTGTGCGTGTCTGAGCGTTTTACAGGACATGTCAATCAGCAGGAAAATGAAGCTGGAGTGACATGACCACAGGGCAAGGCTCTTCGTTGAGTAATGCATGTGTGTGTCTCAGAATATGTGTGTGCATGTGTGTACTGGTACAAGCAAAAGTGTGTGTTGGTCACGTGAAATACTATTCCAGGTTTGGAGGGCATGTGGAGGTGAGGAGGTGAAAAGTTCAAGTGTCCAGAGAAATACAGCAAGAAAGACGTTTTGCCCCATAATGAACAAAAAAAAAAGAAAAAAGAAAAATGAAAATACAAAATAAAAAAAGAACTTTGGAAAAACATCTGACCACAGTATACATACAAGGGATTTACGATTACTATACACACGTAATCTACTTTTCTAGGTCAAACAAGTCTTTTTTGTTTTTGTTCATGATTAATCTTCAGATTATTTTCTCAATTAATTGATTAATTGTTTGTTTATAAAATGTCAGAACATTTTACTTCCTATAGCCCAAGGTTGTGTCTTTTTTTAAGTTTTTATTCTATCTGAACACAAAGACTACTCAGTTCTGTCAATTCATGTCAAAGCAACAACAACATCTAACCCTCATATGTGAAAAGGAGAAATAGACAATATTTGGCATTGAAGAATTACTAAAACGATTAATCAATTAGCGAAATATTTGCAGATTACTTCACGTCAATTCATAAACTAATGGCTAACTAACCTGTGGCTCCCTGTGGCTTTGACAAAAAATGATATGAAAATGAATAATGATGAATGAAAAATTTTACATTTTTATTGATCATTGTTGCTGATGATTCTTATGTTCTCTGTAGCCATTACACACTAAATAAAAAAAATGTTGTCAACTAACTATAAGCTGTGTGCAACAAAGGGAGGGAAAGAAAGACAGACACAGGGTGACAGAGAGATGAGTGGAGGCTCTTCTAAGCAGATGTGTAAACGTCATTAGAGGAGGTAATGGAGGGAGGAAGGTGGGAAGTGGGGGGAAAAAACCTACTCCAGCCGAGGTATTTACCCAACGCCTGGAGCAGAAACACAAACACACCACGTGTAATGACTGAGACTGCGAAGCAGAGAAAGAGAAAAAGAGATGTTTGGTGGTTAATATCTTTTCCAACAAATGTTCTGCCTAATGAAGACCTGAAACAAACAGGGCGAGAGAGGCCGACCGCTGGCTTAATCATGCCTACTAATGTTTTAACAATCCCAAATTTCCACATTCAGACAGGATTCCACTCTGGTTTTCTTTCACTCCCGTTTAGCTAATAGGCCTAATCCTGGCGAGTGTTTCACTAAAAGCCGAGTGCATCTGCCCTACAGCAACGCCCAAGGGCAGGAAAGACAATACTTCCAAACCAGCAGCACAATTGCTAGCTGACTTTAAAGAGATTCTCAGGGACTTTGCGCCTCTTTGGTGTCTGTCCCCTGTCACAGCGAAGGTGATGTGTGTCACACTGACTGTGGTTTTGTTTATGTTGTTGGATTTTCTTCTTTTAAAGCTGTTTGGTGCCCTGTTGTTCGCCCCTCACCTCCTGACCACAAACACACGTACAACCGGTAAACACACACACGGACTCACAAACAAACACAAATGATGACATGTGCATAAAACACAAACACACAAAAATGTATGGCTCAAACAGACAAAAACCAACAATCCACATATAAAAATGCTTACCCAATGCATCGAATCAAAACAAACTACTACACCCATGTTCATCATAATGAAGGAAAATGTCACCTAGTGCAACACTGTCTAACTGTTAGTTGTTAGTTTTGGTCTTTTTATTGTATTTGTTGACAAAGAAAAATACAGAGTCTTATTCTTGAAAGCAACGGTAGCATCGTTAGATCCCGCACTGACTTCCCATCCATGAACACAAATGTGTTCAGTGAAGCATATAACTAATCTGGAAGCACTAAAGCTGGACATTTAGCCAAGATCTTCGCAATAATGGATGACAGTTTTTACCTGCACCAACAGGCGCCTCAATAAGATTGTTACCTAAAGCCAGTGTTTGGTTTGTCCCTTCTGGGCTACGGTAGAAACGTGGTGGTTCAAAATGGCGGACTCC